TCAAGGGCAAAAGGCAACACTTATGCTGGCTTAACTGGCAGTTCAGGATTCCCCATCAATGGGCATCCTTAAGTGGTACACAGTCACCATAAGATGGGTATGGCTGAGTTGTCTCTGAGCCCTGGTGATCCGTTGGAGCCAGAATACCCACTCCCTTGGGGCTATCAGAAACCAATGTAAAATTGTGCATCTCTGAGCGTACTCTTTTATACCAGTGACCAGACTTGTGACCAGATGGCTCCAGGATAAGGATGTGTGTGCAAAAGCATTCTCCAGCTTTTGTGCCTCATCTCCTGAGCTATGCCAAGTGCAGTTTGGTCCCAGCTGAAGATTAAGACCCTTAAATATAAGTTAAGAGATGTACAGATAGGTTTTTACGCACTTTCAGTTTATCATTTCCTGTGTAAAGTTTGCTCTATTCAGATATAAAACTGACAAGGGAGCTAAGAAGAAAAACTAACCTTTTAACATTAGGTTTATTTGTGCCAGAAGTCACAAGCATTGCTGGATTTAGGTGCAGGTGACCAAGGCAACCGCTTGGGGAGCCGGTCTTGGAGTGCTGTTTTTGTTGTTAGCGACAAAAGGGAAAATAGACTGTGCGAAATAAAATGTTTCCGGTATTCCGTATGTGGATTAATTTTTCACTATCCTCCTAGAATGTTCTAGACCTATATCGAATCTTGTGGAACCTTCGAGACTCTGAGAACTACATTTTCCTTGAACCTTCTAAAATGTTGTCAGCTGTGCCCTCGTGGGTATATAAGGGGCAGGGCATTGGCACTCAGTCAGTGAGATATAAGAATGAAGTGAAGTGAAGTGAGAGCCCAGCTGCGATATTATGAACCTTGTTTTATTGTGTAATTGTGAAAGTGTAAATGTATCGTCTTATACGACAGGGATAGATCATGCATGCCGATCATGCATCAAAGTCATGAAATGGGCTACAAATGCAATAAAAATAAGGTATTCAAAAGTTTAACAAATGGGGGTGAGGGGGCACCGAAGATGCTCCTCACCTGGGGCACCATTTGGTCTAGGGCCCTGGTCACAAGCACAATCTTAAATAATTTAAAACTGCTAAATATATCTGAAAGGACATAGAAGATACAACTTTGTCATTTAAAACCTTCATTGCAGCCTATATTTCAGGTTTTCAACTTTTGACATTGAACATAAGTAGTAACATATTGCCCACAGCACTTGATACCAAATGTTTTCTTTCTGCCTTAATGGATCTATGATTGACTGCACCACTCATTCTAAAGTGGTAAAGTGGAACCCATTAAAGTACAGACAAAAGGGACCAAATTCATTACTGGTGCAACTCCATTGACTTTAAATTTCATTATACAAATATATGTTTGTAATGAGAGATACTGTACAGTATATAGCAACAGAGGGTCCTGTGGCACCTTTGAGACTAACAGAAGTACTGGGAGCATAAGCTTTCGTGGGTAAGAACCTCACTTCTTCAGATGCAAGTCTTG